CTGGCCGTTAGTTCCATTCTGTCCTGGTGTACCGTTCGGTCCATTGCCCCCTGGTGGGCTATCGCCACCACCTGGAGCTGATGTAGTTGCATCGGTACCGTTTTGTCCGTTCGGGCCTGGTTGTCCTGGTCCACCTGGCACACCTCCTGGTGGGTTATCGCCACCACCTGGAGCTGATGTAGTTGCATCGGTACCGTTTTGTCCGTTCGGGCCTGGTTGTCCTGGTCCACCTGGCACACCTCCTGGTGGGTTATCGCCACCACCTGGAGCTGATGTAGTTGCATCGGCACCGTTTGGTCCGTTCGGGCCTGGTTGTCCTGGTCCACCTGGCACACCTCCTGGTGGGTTATCGCCACCACCTGGAGCTGATGTAGTTGCATCGGCACCGTTTGGTCCGTTCGGGCCTGGTTGTCCTGGTCCACCTGGCACACCTCCTGGTGGGTTATCGCCACCACCTGGAGCTGATGTAGTTGCATCGGCACCGTTTGGTCCGTTCGGGCCTGGTTGTCCTGGTCCACCTGGCACACCTCCTGGTGGGTTATCGCCACCACCTGGAGCTGATGTAGTTGCATCGGCACCGTTTGGTCCGTTCGGGCCTGGTTGTCCTGGTCCACCTGGCACACCTCCTGGTGGGTTATCGCCACCACCTGGAGCTGATGTAGTTGCATCGGCACCGTTTGGTCCGTTCGGGCCTGGTTGTCCTGGTATTCCTGGTTGTCCTGGTCCACCTGGACCACCTCCTGGGGATTGAATTGTAGTCGTTGCCTCTGTAGTTGTTAATGGAGGAACTTGAGCTTGACAGTAAGACGCGCAATCACGCTTGCATACAACTGCGGCTTGTTGATAATGGCATGGAATATCGTTCCATTTGCCAGTTGCGGAATCAAGAAGTTGTGTGCAGTCCTCGATGACAGCACGATCAGCTAAAATAATATTTTTTACTTATGTTATTATTTATTAGTTTGCCTGTGTTTCCTCCATTAGGTGTAGCAGTCACCCATGGTAATCCAATATCTTCATGTTCTCCAATAGTACCGTTGTATGTGCCGAAATTGTAAGGTGTTCCATCCGAATTTATGTAAACTATTTCACTGTCTACTGCACAACCTGGGCATATGGATGTGTACTGCTGAATTCGATGCATTCCCAACCAGAATGAGTTCAATATTCGGTTGAAATCTGGATTTGAATCTCGAATAGGGCAAACAGAAGCATTAGTCTGGCACTGATTAAGCAGATCTCTGAAAGTTCGGAACACAAAATCGTACTCATCTCTGCTATGAATAGTAGCAACTTCAGCACAGTTGTCGCGGCATATTCTTTGAGCCTTTAATTGGAATATATTTAAAAATTTGATATTATGTAATTTTTTTATTCACCTCAAAAAAGTTGAGCCCACTCTTGAAAAACACTTTATATCCATAAGTTTTCCCATCAGTTGGTTCCACTCGTGTTTGCCAATCAGCTTCACATATAAAGTTGCATCGAGATTGCGCGGATGAATACGCGAAGAGTCCGAAAATTGGAAGAAGTAAAGCCCAGTTTGGGAACATTTTAGTTAAGAAATTTCTAGTGAATCTCTGTGAAAAGAGAATTATTATTATTAACTTGAATATATTATTTAATGAGGAAATTTGAAATCAAAATGTGGTAATAGCATAAATGAACTGATATGTTGTACTAAGTAATACAGCCTTCGTAATGTCGGAGCTCGATTTTACATACCCCATTGGGCTGAAAAATCGTATTTGAAATAAGGGGTATTTTACGTTGAGGACACCTTCCCCATGGAACGTTAAAGCACATTTAAGAGGAGTAAATTAAATTGAGAGTATCATTTAGACTGCTCCCTTCAACCAGCGTCAAGCGTCTGAGTGGGAGGCAACTTAAATCCGGGGTATCTTAAATTGTCAAGCCAACTAAATCCCCCTCTCTTCTAGGGCTGAGGCTTAACCACCTCAACAAAATAGCTAAATTTATTTAAATAGAAAGATAGTCTTTCTAAAATTATTTAAAATTGAAGAGAGAATGAGAAGCTTGGGTTGCTATATGGCAAAATTCCAACGGCTTAAGTATAGGCAACTTTACTCGATTCAAATCCCAGCATATTCCCCCCACTCTTTGGTTAGATTCACACAATATAAAATAATTTGTTTATTCAGCTTTAAATTTCCCGTCTCTTTCAATTTTAATAATTCTCCTGACAGCTTCAAATTTTTAAAATTAAATTCCACGTGTTTTACAGCTTAAACCTTGCGGTTGAGATTTTTGGCAAACTCTCAAATACTCAACCTCTCCCTCTTTCGCTCAAAAAATTTTTTAGTTTCTTTATCTCTTCCTTCTCTCTCTCTCTTCTAAATTTTTTTAATTTTTAAATTTTGCCATATTTGGAAAATAATTTTAAAAATCCTCAAGTTCCACGTCTTTTCTATAAAAATTTTTTTTATTTTACTCAGACATATCTTTCCAACTCATCATCAGATTAACTTCTTTAATCCTTTTTTTAAATTTCAATTAAATTTTACTTCCTTGAAGGGTTAAATTATTTGAAAAAATTATTTCCTTATTCCAGGTTCAACACTTATTTTATTCGAGTCTGAATGTATTTCGTAATGGGGTATGCCGTACCTTCTAGAATAGCTATCCTCGATAATTATTGTTTCGAACCACGCTAGGGGGATTAATTACTCGAGGGGCAAACCCTCGTACTCAAGGGAGAGGGGTGGCAATTATGAAGTTTGTAAATGTATTAGGGCATTTGATGATGTAATTATTTTATCTATCGCTGGAGGGGTAATTAATATGAGGCCGTAATGATTTGAAAAGTCCAATTAGTCCAATCCAATTACTCCAAAAGTCCAATTACTCGAATAATTGGAGCCCATCAGGCTGCCCTTCAGTCTCAATTTTAATATAATAGTAATATTTTTGGATGGCTGACAATCATGAGAAAAGATTCCACTATAATTCAATTACTATATTTTCTCAAAATAGCCCCCCTCTGTTACGACCCCGCTTACGTAGAGAAGCTAACAGAAACGTTTATTGCACAAAGAAATACAAAGCAGGCGAAGGTAGGCAGAAGAACTAAAACTCAGACCGAACCAACTATTGGCTGTCCTTTTATACTAAACACTTTAAGGGCTGTCGCCCATACACAACACCCTCTCTAAAATAGCCCCCCTCTCTAAAATAGCCCCCCTCTAGAGGTCGATTGAAATAAAAGCCCCCGGGGTATTTTAGAGAAAATACGGTATCTACTTGAGTGCCGTATTCCACATTATCATTATAGACTTTGTTAGCGAACCGATTTGAGAAAGAAAACAATGAAAAGAGACAAAATTAAAAACAATCTTTTGTGCTATAATTAAAAAATCTAAAAAATTTTTATACTATTTTGTAGAGCATGGTAGATCTGATATCACCAATCTTTGAAGTTTTGGCTATTTGGATACTTTATGCGAGAGAGAAAAGAAATTAACTCTTATCGTATTTGCTCGAATAATTACTCTCTATCAAGTATTTAAGGGTAGATATGGCTTATTATAAAAGTTTGAGGCTTTATCCATGGGTCATTTCTATCCATGGGTCCAGTCAAGGAGTAGTTCTGGCTCCAGAAACCTACATTTTATTAGTAGTATTGCTTCAACTTTATTGTATTATTCATTTATTTATTTATCAACATAAAAAAATGTCAACGAAAGGGCGTGCCACTTATTTCGACAACAATGTCGTAGTGTGGCACAACTCAAAATATAGTAAATACAAACAGCATAAAAACAATAAAATTCAAAAATAATTAAGAAAAACAGATATAAATTTATATCTTAATTAGTTTATTTCTTTAAATAAATATACTCCTTACCTTACCGACCGCTTAATTAATTAGGATTATTTAAAATACTTATAAATTTAAAAAATACAGACAAAAAGATATTAATTTAATTAGAGTCAAAATTCCAAAATTTAACGAATTTTGGAATTTTCTATGATCAATAGCAATAATCTGCTTGCTTAATATACAAAAATATAAGAGAAATATTTATGTTTTGTAGTTGTTTCACTTTGTTTAAGAGCGCCAGTGTCGTGTCGTGTCTAGCTGGTCATAATAGCCCAGCTTCTCATCTCCTTCGTCTGTTCCAGAAATCTCCTTCGTCTGTTCCCCCATTGCAAACTTATTCCTGGATAATCTGTGATACTTAAGCTCGCCGGCATATGCAAATCCCAGACAAATTTCGTACATACAATTTATAATGTCAAAATTATTAGATTTTTCCATAAAGATAGTTTATTATCAAGATTTAAATGATTTGTTAAATCAAAATTTTTTAATCTTTATTTTTGATACTTTAAATTTAAAATAGAATCTTTCCTTAATTCTTTAAATTCATTATTTCAATTGAGTATCCATCTCAGCACAATATGAGTTACATAGACGCTTGCATATTACCCCACTAAGACGCATTTGACAGCCAATGTCATTCCATAAACCATTAACGCTGTCATAAAATTCTACACAGTCTTCGTTTCCATATTCTGAAAGTTTGAAATTAAACTAAGGTTCCAAATAATTCTACTGATATGAGTTAGGCGGGACGAATTCTCTCACAACTACTTTCTAGTTTGTACGGAACTGTCCCTCAAATTTACAAACGTTATATGTAGATAATGAGATCGAAGTAAAATGTGATAGGGAATTAATGAAATTTGAACGCAACATGTTTTTCCACCCTAACTACTTTCTAGTCCGAAGAGAACATGTTCTCTCCACCCTACTTTCTAATATAACATGGCATGTTCTAGATGATCTACTCTGCTTCATACAACCTTATAAGAACGACTCATGTAATATCCTCAGTCTGTTTATGGTAAAAAAAAGGAATTTTTACTCCAGACTACCGTATATACTGTATTTATTACCCTCCCTCAAATAATTACCCCGCCTGCTTTTATTACCCCCTCCAGCAAGAGATCGAAACAATAATTACCCAGGGTAATTAATACAGTATTTACGGTACCTACGTGTCCGAAGGGAACATCCTCCTCCTGACATCATCTCCATCTTGCTTTTCCATAGCAATTACCCTATCCTCATACCGTTTTATGATTTTAGCACCCTAGTAAGTCATATCATATGATATCTTACCCAAGTTACTTTAAATAGTTCATACGTTCAATTCCATTAGGATTTCCAGTAGCCCAAGGTGGCACAGTTTCATGTGGACCAATTACACCCGTATAATTGCCAAAGTTACAAGGAGTTCCATCAGACCAAAGACAATAAATATTTGGATCTCTTGTACATTGGCCAAGACGTCCAAACTGTATGCGATGCATGCCGATGAAGAAAGAGTGTAATATTCGATTGAAATCAGGAATTGTCTCACCAGGTCTTGGTTTACAAATGATCTCATTCTGTATTTAAAATGAAAGGATTAATATGAAGGATATATATAAGATTATAGGAGATCATCATAGGAGATCATATTTAATGCTTGTCTCCAAATTTCTTTTAAAAATTAAAAAATCAAACTTGGCAATCATCTAAAAGAGGTTGAGCAATTGCTCGAACAAATTCATTCTCTTCTTTACTGTGGATGCTAACGACCTCCGCACATTGTTCACGGCATAAGGCATTTGCCTGTAATTAAAGCAAAATTGAAATTAAAACTTGAAGCTTTATCCCCAAGTATTAAAAGGGATAAAACCTAGACCCTATCGGGCAGACTATCAACCCGTACGTTCCGTCGGATCACAGACTTTCTTTCTCTTTTATGCATGGTAACAGGACATGTTCTCCTCACACTATACACATGCTAGTTATAATCGGTCTAGTTGTCAGGGGCCTCTGCAAATTAGATCATATCTCAGATATGACGTGTCATATTTGTGACTAGAGTCCGACATTTAACCCACTATCTGACCATCATTGACCAAATGTCGGACTCTAGTCACAAATATGACATGGCATATCTGAGATATGCTCTAATTTGCAGAGGCCCCAGGTCTCTATAGCGGGTTTATAGTCAAATCCCGATCTTTAGTACATTCTCTAGCCCAGTATGGAGTTATCCTCAAGATGTCCCTCCAATATGGTAATTCCAAAAATTTCATACCTCAAAGAAATTAATTGATTCCTGAACAAATGCCTTGTAGGCATACACCTTCCCATCATTATCTTGAAATAGATCCCAGGTATCATTACATTCAAAGGGTACACATGTAGATTTTTGGGCATTTATTATATTAAATTTCAAGAAGAATAGGACGATAGGGAAAGAAAAAATTATAATAAAATATAGCTGGGTAGGTTTCATCTTTAAGATTTGAAAAATTTAATTAAAGGACGGATCGTTAGGGGTTTTTAAAAATTTGGCTATCACTGACCACCGTCTTTTTACCATTTTAACTTATCTATAGGGATGGGATTTATATGGATTTCCATATCTTTCAGGCTTAATTGGTTATTTACGAAGATTTGCTCCCAAAGCAACTTCGTTTAGCGTTGCTCCCATATGGACAATTACCTAGATATTTAACATATTAGTCCTTAAAAATCTCGCCAGGGTTGGGCAGAAAAGACAATCTCCAAAAACGCAAAATTCAGCGCAAGTCCAAAACTTAACGCAAATAAATCAAAACGCAATGTGCCTGCCCGTGAATCCTATCCCTACTCATCACTCATTTATCAGGGATACGAGATTTATGAACTAATCAGAGAAAATTGGAGTGAAACTCATTCCCATTCTTCCCTCAATTATTAGAAAGTTTTCTGACATTTTACTCGGATTACTTGATAAATTTGGATGACTGTTAGATTATTTGTGAGTTAATATGAGTAAGACGTTTGTCAGTGATAGACCATTAAAACTTCTTAAAAAACCCATAAAAATCCGGGCCCTAATAATTAATTAATAAAGGATATAATTTAATTATTAAATAATTTTTATTATATCGATTATATTTTAATTTTTTTAATTTTAAAATTTTATTTACTTCAATTCGAATATAAAAATTTTAAAAAATTTTAAAAAAGTTTAAAAGAAATTTATAGAAAATTTATTTGTACAGGCTTCAAATAAATTTTAAATTTTTTCCACTGTGGTTTTTTATTTTAAAAATTAAATTGATTGGAACTTAAGGATGATTAAGGCCTTAAACAGGATTTTTTGAAAGTTTTTGGTATTATCCTTTGATTTTTTAATTTAATCTGTTATGGAGAATTGCTCAAAATTCGATTAGTTTATCAGTAAATTGACAAACAATCATAAAATTTTTTGACTTACAGACCAGGTGTGGGTATTTCGCCTTCCGACTTTCGTCAAAATTCCGTCTTTTATGGAATTTCGCCTTCCGTCTTTCGCTTTTTAAATTTACTTTCGCAATTTCGCTTTCCGTCTTTCGCTTTTTAAATTTACTTTCGCAATTTCGCCTTCCGTCTTTCGCTTTTTAAAATCTGTTTCGGCACACCCCTGTTACAGACGTCTGTTCCGAATCGTAATTGAAGACTCCAATTTAACCGTAGTCAGAAAAAAATTTTTGGGCAAAAATTCCGGGCTTGGTTCACAGAACTATTTGATTTATTTATTTCAACCTTCGTTTAAAAAGTGGAAAATAAAATTTTGAACTGCCAAAATAATAAAATCAAGTATTCAACGGATATTTATTTATAAATTTTTTAAAAATTCGAAAAATTTATTGCCATTCAACCTACACGTTTAATTTGGGCATCCTACCAGAGACACTCGATCGGTCCTCGCTCTCAAATGGCAACAATCAAACTGGCCATTCGGTAATCCATTTTCAACCGCGCTAATGTTTAATACCGTAAATAGCTTAATAGAGCGCATCCAAATAGAAGTGCATGCCTTAGTATAGTCCCTCTCAATGAGACTCATTGACGCACAGGGCCGCAGGGCCTCTATATATTTTTAAAAATATTGCCAATCAATTTCCCATTAAAGCGGGGTTGGGGGGGGGAGGGAAGTAAGAGGGACAAGAGCGCAGGATGGGAGGGAGAAGGGAGGAGGTGGATGTATGGATAGGGTTTTTAAATAGGATCCACGTAAAGTTGATTGATTCTTTCTCTCTCTAATTCACTCTCTCTTCTAAATAGCCCAGGTATAGTCCCACTCAATGAGCCCTATTGAAAAATGAAGGCACAGGGCCACAGGGCTTCATATGTTTTTAAGAATATTGGCAATGAATTTCCCAATAAAGCGAGGGCGAGTCTTTTACTCTCTTATTCACACTCTCTCTTCCAAAACGAGCCCTTGTATAGTCCCACTCTATGAGACTCAATGAAAAATGCAGGCACTTTGACGCAGGGCCTCATATATTTTTAAGAATATTGCCAATCAATTTCAAATAGAGAAAACTGCGATTGAGAGGGGGAGCAAGAGGCACAGGAGGGCAGGGAGGAGGAGTGAGGAGGTGAATGTATGATAGCAGATTTAAATAAAATCCACGAAAAGGTGATTGATTCTTTCTCTCTCTAATTCACTCTCTCTACTCAGACGAATTAACCTCCCAAAATTTTGGCTCATAAACAAGCGCCCTCCCTCTAAAAAACGTCCCTCCCTTTTAAATTTTTTTACTTACATTCGCTACAATTTACTTGCTATTTATTTCATGTCTTATTAAAAAATTTTTTTAACAAAATTTTCTAAAAAAATTAAATTGATAGATTTCTGATTTAAAAATTTTTTCTATCCTACCAAAGAGATAAGGGTACTTGTGGGTTATCCCTAACCAGTTTTTGCGGACATATTTTGCGGACTCTTTTGTATACACAGAATGGTCAGTCTTCCTCTTCCCTCAATTTCACTCTATTTCACTGTGGCATTATTCAATGAGAGGCAATAAAGAAAGGATTATTTTTAAATATAAATGACCGATTTTTAAAGCATGTTTGCCTCTCATTGAATAATGCCACAGTGAACTCCTTCCTCAATTTCACTGTGTTAATAGAGGCAATAAAGAGAGGCAACAAAGAAAGGATTATTTTTCTGCAATGTCATCAAATTTGAAAATAACAGATCAATCTTTTCATTTTTATTCACATATTTCAGTCATTTAGAAATATTTTTCTAGACTCCGCATTTTGAACTAATTTGAACTAATGGTCCGTTACTTCGTGTGAGTTCCTTAACAGAGTCTTACCAAATTAACCAAACACGGTCCAGAAACAGGTTCCTATTTTCGACAAATCTAACCAATTATGGTATCAATCGAGCTCAAAATGGTAAAAAAGGTGTGGGGATAAACTACTATTAGAGAAAAGCTGCTCTGAAAGCACAGATCGGTCCATATTTTGTTTATTCCGTATTTTGGTCTTTCCTTGATTTGGTAAGACTGTGATTTGTCCGTTTTTGTGGACGTATTTTGCGGACTCTTTTGTATACACAGAATGGCCAGTCTTCCTCTTTCCTCAATTTCACTCTATTTCAATGGCATTATTATTCAATGAGAGGCAAACATGCTTTAAAAATCGGTCATTTATATTTAAAAATAATCCTTTCTTTATTGCCTCTCATTGAATAATGCCACAGTGAAATAGAGTGAAATTGAGGGAAGAGGAAGACTGACCATTCTGTGTATACAAGAGTCCGCAAAATATGTCCGCAAAAACTGGTTAGGGATAACCCACAAGTACCGAGATAAGTTAGACAAAAAAGTTGATACGTATAGTTCCGGACTATGTAAAAATATTAATATGTATAAGTAAAATTTTTGAGTACTCTACGAATGCACCTAATACTATATTGCTGTGATGGGATGGGTTGAGAAAAAGGTTAGCTCGGGTTTCGGATGAAACAAGGTACGGGTTTCGAGTAAGAAGACCCATAACAAGACCCATCCCTGCTATATAGACCTGAATATTGTTCAAATTTTGGGGTGAGATTTGCTTTTGGAAGGGGAGAGGAGCTGCCAAGTAATGCCGCTTATTTAATATAAACTTTTTCATACAATTTTTTGGCCAAAGGTTATCTTTTGAATTAGACTAATCAGAAATTTTCAGGAATGAGGAATTCATTCCTTAGCATACTTTTCCTTTTCCTCCTAATTTTCAAAAACTCCTCATGTACAGGACCCAGCTTCAACAAGGCAATGCGTAACCAAGTCAAGCAATTTTTGGAAGCTAGTTTGAAAGACATTCATCCAGATAGCTTAGGCATTGACGATGCTCTCTTACACCTGTTCAACGGCCTTTCACTCTACGACGATCATTTTCGATTTGGAGGGATTCTTGACTATTGTATTGAAAATGGACATGTAAGATACTATTTGATTAATTAAATAATCTGCTTAATAATCTTTTAAATGCTGATCTGCAGCTTTTAAAAAAGCCAAGTATAAGCAAACTTTAATTGGATATTCATTTGCTAATGTTTATTAATTTGAGTTAGACTGTTCTATGCCGTACATCGGGTAGTGTCAGGGTGGCCCCTTCCAAAACGCAAAAATAGGGCGCAGCCACTCAAAAATAGGGCAAAATAGGGCGAAAACGGCCAAAAATAAGGCAAAAATTAGGGCATAGCTTTAGAAGCTTAAACATAATTAAAATTTCAAATAGGGGTAAAATTTTGAGAATTTTAGAAGGCCAAGAAGTCAGAAATCCTTCATTTTGACCATTTTTTTACAAAATCCGAAGAATTTTTAAAATTTTATAAGATGGTAAAAATAGGGAAAAAATATGGCAAATGAGATAATAGGGAAAAAATAGGGCGAAAAGGTCAAAAATAGTGAAAATCCTCTATAATTATGGTCAAAGGGCCACCCTGGGTAGTGTCCAAGTAGAAAATTTATCAAAATTATTAAAATTGCCTATGCTTTTTTACATTTATGGGTTGAGTTGAGAATTCCTGGTTAGACCTATGCTTAAACGAGCTCTAGATCTGAGCTCGTTGGAACAATGAATTTTCTTTCCATATGAGTGTATTATACTCAGGATTTTCATTAGCTGGACCTTCTGTAGATTAAACGTTTCAGAAACTTTTATTTTACTAATTTTTCCATAATTAAAGCAATTCTTCAATCCCTGAATAACAAAATTTAATTTTTAATTTTGAAGATAGTTGCTGATAACGCATTTAAATCACATATATTCAATTACAATGTAAATATGGAGATGCTGACATATGCCAGTGATTATATAAACTGCGTTGATAAAATATATGAAGCAACAATCAAAGTCAACCTAGATGCATACAATATAACAGGTTGTATCGGATGACAGTTGATTTTCTTAAATCCTACCGGGTTACACCCGAAAAAACAAATAGAATGTGTAGCTAGGTAGTGATTCGTATCTAATTGCAATTTAGCTGGATTAGGAAATATGCACGACAGGGCGAAATATGCAATTATATGAATTAAGAATAGAACCTAATATGCTCGGATCAAATTAAAAAAATACTATTTTTAGCCTTTCAGTTCAAAGCATATGCAAATACAAACTATGCATTTGCATGATTTGCCCAGCCTTTGTAATAATATAATAGAATAAGCGTGCTATGAGCTGGAGCAGAGCTATGAGAAAAAACGAGCTATGAGCTATAGCAGAGCTATGAGCTAATAAGCAAGCTATGAGCTTGAGGAGAGCTATGAGCTAATAAGCTACGAGATGGAGCAGAGCTATGAGCTAACAAGCAAGCTATGAGCGGGAGTAAGCTATGAGCTAATAAGCGAGCTATGAGCTGGAGTAAAGCTATGAGCTAACATGAGCTATGGGCTAACTATGAGCTATTATTTGACTATATGCGAGCTATTAGCTGGAGTAGAGCTATGTGCTAACTATAAGCGACTATGAGCTGGACATCTCCCTCCATCTCCCTCCTTTAATTAGGGAGGGAAAGACCTAAGTCTTTTCTGACTAGTTTGGCGGAGTTAGAACTTTTCAACAATAACAATATGTATTACAATTTTCTATTAAGTTGAGTTACAAAATGAACATCGCGCACGTGAATTCCTTTATGCATTCATGCTTACAAAGCCTATATTTATTGCAAATGAATTGTCGAGGATGTTGGCTGATCCGAATTTTCGGGCTGTAAGAATAAATGATAGTGTTAGATTTCTAGTATTATTACTAGCTTCTACGCAAAAAGATGAGGTTTTGAAATTTTTGGATATTAAGTAGTAAAAGTTATGTTCGTTCACCGCATTGTCCATCCTCAGAAGGCGCATAATATTCAGATTTTCTCCTTCATAAATTTCACTCTTCGCTATGGTATACATATTGTCGTTATACCATTCTTATGGATCTGAATAATTTAAAATCTGCAAAGATTTGATGAGAGATTTGAAATTCATAAGGAATCGCCTGAACCTTCTAGCAATCTAAACTTTCAACTGAACCATACCGAAGCACTCTCTCTTTTACTGATTGAATGAGACAATTAATTCATTCCGATATTTCTTAAAATGATAAAAGTACTCTTAACTTTACGCATTTTAAGCAAGGAAAAATGCGAGGAACGAACATAACGATTATCCAAATTTAATTGAAATTTAAGGAATTGCGCCTCATTCGTCAATTAATGAAAGTGCTCCGTGGAGAAGATTTTGAGTTTGAAAAATACTTTAGCAATGATGATGTTAAAGCTTTTGTCAAATATCGCTTTTATGTCGGAACAGACAAGTGGAATCACGATTTTCGATATATTAGAGTAAGTGCTTATTGTTATGGGTTAATAAAAGACGCTTTGTATCTTGCAACCACCTTATGTATAATATACATAACGAGGTTGCGTTCTCTTTATGTAAAGCTCAAAGGAGGTTATACAGGTTATACAAAAGTTTCTATCCAATCAGACCTTAATAATAACAAAATTAAGAAGGTGAATCGCTGCCATATAATCTATCACAGAGCTTAAGATTCTTCGTAGGGCCTATAAAACCAATATTAGATATACCTTTATAGAGCCTATAAAATTCCTAATATAAGCCGTGGACTTATATTTTTCAATGGGTCTCTTCGTATGGGTTTATCTTAGATATAGGCCTCTAAAAGAATCGGGCTAATAATTACGGTATTTTGTATATATTATTAATTTTTAATGATTTTGTAAAGGGCTTAAGCCGAATTACGTATAACCCGGATTGGCAGAAAATAATGGGATTCAGTCAAATTGCGAACATTCATAATTTGAATCAAGTATGGAAAGATTCATGTGATCCAGCGTGGTTTGCTCCACTTCGGGGATTGAGTAGCAAGGGAATGCTTCAAAAATTGTCCTTAGACGAACCTTTTGCTATGCATTATTTGCTTTACCTGGCAGGATGCAGGTAAGCAGTATAATTCGAGGCGGTTCCGAGGGATTGCAGGGATATGAGGGATTTGTCGGATATTAGGGTTTTTGTAGGATATCAGGGGTTTTGTCGATTCATTTTTGTCGGATATCATTTTTTCGGGTCAGGGGACGGGATTTTCATTTTTTCGGTGCGGGGTTCGGTTCGGGGAAAATCTTAAAATATCTTTCGGGAACATTGGTCGGGTTACGGCGTTGGGGTGCAACTATTATAAATTTCAATCTAATTTATAGTGTAATAGCAATTAACGATAAACAGTTAACCAATGATTCTATGATAAAGCAAGTCGAAGACAATCTCCGTTGGGCGACAATCCTTTCATTTAATGTGAAAAGAATCGAAAATCGTTTTCATTATACACAAATTGGGAGAGGGGCTATAAGCAAATATTTTATAAATCCATCTTCAATTGGCCAATTTTATAAAAACGTTTTTAAGCGAAGCTTTGAACTTGGTAAAAATTTTATAAACTTATTCGTGTTTTAAGGTATATAAAGGAAAGGGTTATGATAACTTGGTTTATTAAGTTATCATCCTCCAGCGCTAAAAGTATTATTTAAAAAAATATTTTCGACCCCTTATAGATTACTATAAATTTTAATTTTGGGCTCATTCGAAAGCCCTTGAAACAAGATAGTAACAATCTTATTATTTATGCATTATGTATTAAATTTTCATTCAAATCCGTTAACAACTTACGGACCAGAGTTACGTCGTAATTGAAAATTTTTTTTTCGTAATCGTAATTCGTAATTAAAAAAAATTTCATAATCGTAATTCGTAATAACGACGCAACCCTGCACGGACCTAAGCTACAAAATATAGGTGGTTGTATATTTTTGGGACAAAGTGTATATGAATTAAAAGTTTAGCAAACTATTGAAATGGAGGAGCTCTGCTAAATGAAGCTGGGCTTTTAATTTTAATGTAATGATTTTTTGCTTGTTTTTACTCTCAAGTCGTAAACAGGGCAAGGAAGGCTGGAAGATTCTTAATAGGGATTTAGTATTAAATAGGAAGCTTAACCTTAAAAAACCATCTTTATTATGAATTATTTTAAAGTGCCACATCGATTTTTCACTGATTTTGATCAAATCGACTATCAGGGACTTCCTCAATATGTTGGAGGAAGTTTTGAGTTTAATGGATTTTTCAAGCAATTTAATAATTGGGCAAACTTTATGTGCCCTAGTAGAAGTGCTGGAGATGGAAAGCGGAGGTAAGAGCTTGTCAAAAATTTAATTTATCTGAAAAATGCGATTAACCGACTTTTGCGACCCGTACACATGCGGCGCAGACATTTGCGGCGATGATTAAAAAATTAAGTAAATTAAATAAAAAAATCCTAATTTATTATTCAATTATATCGGTCAACAGATTCTGATTCCAATTCTCAAATCCTTAATGAGAAATTTCTCTCAAATCCTAACTCTCAAATCCTTAACTCTGTATTAATAACTCTGTGTAATTATTGTTTTATTCTCTCGCTTGAAGGAGTAAATAATAAAGACGGAATGGTATATAATATAGGAATAGTATATAATATATATAATAATAAAGACGGAATATATACTCTTTCAAAGTCGGAACTCGGAAATCGGAAATCCGAACCTAACTGATGTCAATTAAATCTTTAGATTAGCTCGCACCACTAAAAAGGGGTGTATTTAAAATCGAAATTCAGTTTTATTAAAAAAATTAAGTTTCTGTGAGAATTGGCATGATAAAATTAATGTTATTTTTGCTACCCTTGTTAACATAACCTCAGAACATGAAAAAATTGGAGTTTTATTTGCAAGAATTTTTCACTTTGCAAATAGCCATGGAGAATTATTTATGGATAACATTAACAAATTTTTCGGACAACTCGAGAATTACACACCTGATAATTCATACGTTAATGTAACTAAAGAACAAGCCGACTTTGCAAGCGAAACCGTTGGTATATTTGTCAACAAATTTAATAAGAAAGAAATGGACGATATTAAAATTCATAATGATCGTCTTAAAATGAACGTTCGTGGATCGTTCGTGCCTCTTGATACTCGAATTCCTCATTTAAAGAATTTTTACAAATCAATCAACGAGATCAATGTTCTAAGCGGAGGAATATTTGAACCATTGTTTGTTTAATTTTAAAAATAAAGGGTGACACAAATATATATGTGGACAGGATATTTATAGCATAACTTTATCAAATTAAAGATAATGAGATCAAATAAAGCTTGGTAATAGTTCGGTTCGTATACCCCACCCTTTTTCCTTCTTAAAAGCAGAGCTGCCGTAAATATTCGGATACCAAGATCAGTATCCGTGACCATATCTGCTTAAAAGTATTAAAAATGGTCAGTCAATCTTAGGGTATAGAACTCGTCGAGCTGTGTCAAATGACACTAAAATCATCCCCCGGTCTTAACTTCAGGCCGAGATACCGAAAATATTGCCAAAAAATTATCAAGAATTTTTAAAGTCACCGTTCTTTAATTGAATACAAGGTTCAAAGCGCGTTGAAAAATTTTGGACAGAGATATTCTCCCATTCCCAAACTAGTGAGTGACGAGGGGACTCCAAGTGTTAGTTTGTCTAGCGTAGGATCCTGGCCGGCAAAATAAACAAATGAGTAAATAACAGTAATAGTAAATCCGAGCCGTAGCTTATACGAAACAGTGTAAAGCCTGCTGAATGATCCAGTCCAATAGTATCCTTAGTAGCCTTTATTACAGTTATTCTAAATTTTTTAAACACCAAATTATCAGAGGGTACAATTATAATAGAGAAGAACCAAGAAAAGCTGAACTGGGAAGGATGGCTATGGCTCTTTATACAATTCAAGGATTAGCCCATTTGTTTCATGTTGTGTGGCCTATAGCTCAAAACGTACTTTATGAAAAGAAATGCCTAAATTATCAACAATATGGAATTTACTTTGAGGAGGTTTATTTGAACTTTCCTTAATTAAATATATTAAAAAATTTCTAGGGTGTAGGAAATGAAAATGCAGATTGGCTTAAATTTGCAACAAGACAAAGTAAGGGATAAAGGGATTCGTCGGGATTAAGGAGGTATATCCCTCTTAATCTTTAAAAATCCCTATTGATTCACCATTCTATTGAGTGAGGTTTTTAAAAAATTCTAAGGCCCTCTCGATCAAAGCATTCTTTCTTTTAAGTGACAAATGATTAGGAAAGTAATAAAATTTCTTTAAAAATTTTTAAAGGCCAATCAACATTCGAAGGTGAACGAGGTGGTATAGGAGGCCCTATGGGACATTGGCAAAACATGAGACCATGTAACGACGATTGGATGACATTTTATTTGGCAAGAAAGAACGGAGAATTTGAATATTCCTTGGCTGAAATAATGCCTCCTCAACGTACAGGTAGCATTTAAAATGCCGTATATGCTAAGATGTTTTACGTGTTTTAACGGTCCAGCATATTTTTTCATTAATAGAGCTGCGGACAGAGGGAAAAGTAAGAGCTTTTGGCGCCGTTTCAAGGCATACCTCCACACCTCCTCTTAATATTTAACCATAAAAGGAGAAGTTTAAAAAATAGAACCACATTGTTTTTATTAGAATATATACCGTATTATTTAAAAATAAAAATTGTTTAAGCACATACGTACGCACCTCAACATCCAGGTAATTTTAATTTATACAGCAGGCATTGCGCCGACCCGATTCACGATTCCCGAAAATCGTGAATTCGAAATTTTTGTAAATTGATTCACGATATTTTTTGAAAATCGGGAGTTCCCGATATCTAGTTTCGTTAACTTTTTTAAATTATAATAATTTTAATACCCTAAAAAGGAGAATCTTCGTACGGCCAAGGTGATATGCCTGATATAACAACACCTGTTTTTACACCTGAACATCAATTTGGTAAGCATCAATTAGTAACATAAATTAAAATTCGAAACTTCAATATTTTAATTACCGATTTTAGGTGAAATTTCATATGCTGGTCAATATTCACCTTGGGGTACTCCACAACATATAGGTACTTCTCAGGGTACTCCACAACACCATGGCGGTATTTCACCTTGGGGAACTCCTCAACACATCGGCACATCCCAGGGTACACCGCAACAATATGGCGGTACTTCTCAGGGTACTCCTCAACATGCCGGTACTTCTCAGGGTACTCCGGAATATGGTGTCCAAGGACATAGAGGTAGGTTCATTTATGCACAATCTACGAGGGGTAGGAGAAGAATTAGGTGTTTAAATGAGAAAGATCTAAAGTATTCTTAGATCTAAAGTTCAGCGTTATCAGGATATAGACAAAAAGTCTGGATCAGGATTTGAAATATAGACACGGGATCGGGCTTAGCCGAAATCGGATCGGAATTTATCTTTCAGTCCCGGGATCTTAAAAATCGTGATCGTTATTCAAAAAACCCGAGATCAGCCTGATCCGGATTCACGCCCGAAGCGACCGCAATATAGCTAAGAATAGTTAATAAATTAACAGAAAATTGAAAACTCTATCACAGGGACTGAATAACAGGAGGGTTATACTATCCAAACCCAACACTAAATTAATTTTTAAAAATTTACAGTAAGAAAACAAAAGAAAAAAGGTTTCTCAAAATTCCTTTCTTGTTTTGCTCCAAAAACAAAAGATCGACGCCGCAAACGGTCAATTTCAAACATATTTTTGGATAAAATTGTCCGTCAGAAACGTATGTATCAGACCGGTCCAAGTAGTTCAAGCACACCAACACGTGGCTTGACAGTAACAGACTGTGGATACTGGCTGGCTCCAATGTGGTTTGGATTTAACCTCCTCTTGTTTATCCTTGGCTGGATGTTATTGGCTATTCAATATTATCCAATGTTCTTGGATATGTAAAGAATTGAGTTGTGGAAAAGATTTTTTGATTCATACTTTTTATTTCGGGATTATTTGCAAATAATCAGGGTTTCAAGACTTTAAGGATAGTATTGGTAAAAGGCTGGTTATTCCCTCCTCATCGTTATTCCCAGAAATGAAATTCAAAATTACCTATCACTTGTTATTATCAAAGTAAAGCAGCTGGGCTATAACTATTTCTCTCCTTTAGCTAGTGCAAAAGGTTATTCGGCGGCTGGGAGCGAACCAGCATCTTCAGTAGACCGGACTGATGTGTTAGCCATTACACC